GTGTTGGTGTGTGTGGGTGTGTGTGTGTGTGTGTGTGTGTGTGTGTGTGTGTGTGTGCGCGCGCGCGCGCGCGTATGCGTGTGCGCGTGTGTGAGACTGACTATAGAAAATGTACAAGAAAGACAAATCCTTGACTATTAGCGTGAAGATTATTCGTACTGTACAGCTACCAAGGCAACCAAAATCCAGTGCCGCCCTGATATATTGGTGACCTAACTTGCAAGTTTTTCAAGATACAAGCCATCGTTTGGCTTTGAGTTGTGAGTAAAAAATGAGACACTTTCCGATTGCTGTATGTTGGCAGTGACTTCACCACAAGCAGCAGTTGGGCAGATAGTGACAAATTCTCCAAAACGAGGCTTCAAGTGGTTTATTGGCACTCTCACTCGAAGTCTCCCTTTTTGCTGGACATCACTGTCTCAAATGTATCAATTAATTATTAAATTGGATCGCATGTTTTGTTTTGCAAGTGTTGTAGCGTTAAAGCAGGAGTCATTAAATCCTAGACGAGATTCTTTTTTGTAGGTCAAACCCTCACCTTTGGGAACGATATCTAAAAATAGAGCTCTACTTTTGAATAATTGAAAATGTTTTGAAAAGGATTTCTGAGCGTCACTAGGAAGGAGTCACAGATGGCAAATGAATGTTTTGATGGGTTTTTTTGTCTGTATTTACATTGTCTCGTCTCCCAGTTATTTCAATGAACTGCAATGATATCAGTCTTTTTCATGTGGATTTCATAGCGCATAAAGAATAAATGGACGTAAGTCTTATGTTAATGTCTGTCTGCATGTGTTGCGCCATCATTTCTGTTCAGGTAGCCGTCACTTAAAAAGTGTTTCAAAATTGCGATTATCAATGCTAATCGTTTGCATGTCAATGACCTTTTTCATTCCAAAATTAGCTGAATGACAGCTCATTTTCTGACAAGACTCGTAATTCAGTCACTTGTATCTCAAGACACCACTGTACTCACAGGCATACAGTATTTTACAAAAGTTAGTAGACCTTTTCACTTTTTTGCAAATGTTTTATTGTAGCTTTACTTGAAACACAAGTGAGCACATGACACTTAGCCAAATAATGTGAAGTTGTCAGTGTACAGCTTTTATCTCAGTGTAAATTTGCTGTTCCCTCAAAGTAACTCAACACACAGCCAGTAACGTCTAAATCACTGGCAACAAAACTGAGTACACCCTGAAGTGACCATGTCCACATTGGGCCCAGTGAGCCCATTTTCACTTCCTGTCATGTGACTCTTGAGGTTTTACAAAGTCTCGAGGTGTGAATGGGGAGTAGGTGTTAAATTTTCTTTTCCAGCTGAACTCAGTGCTACCCAGTGATGGCATGAAGAAGGAACTGCAAAATAGTGAAGGGCTAATACTGTATTTATTTTATTTGTGTATGTGTTCTGACAGATTAAAGGATCCTGGTCGGGGAAGAACCGAGTGCAGAACCCCTACAGTCATAAGAACATCTTTAAAAACTGCTGTGAGGTGCTGTGTGGGCCCGCGTACCCGAGGTATGGCCCAAGACGATGCGTACTGCCTCAAATTTTTCATGTTCAAGTTAGGCCGTATTAAATGGCTTTCTTATTAAGGTAATGCCTGTGGCCATGCGGGTGATATGTGAGCGTTATTCGGTAGACTCAGAGGAGTGACTCATGAGCAGCTTGTCTGACTAATTGTCATGACATTGGTCAACATGGCTTCATATTGCTTCATGTGCTTCTAAAACTGCAACTATTGGTTTTTGTCAACAGCCTTTTGCGTTGTTTGTTCGCATTAAGCTAATGATCTGTAGGGCGAAGTTATGGTTACGTTTTACGTTTTAAATAAACAATGTTGCATTCATTCACTTAGTTTTATGTTGAGTTTGACAGGAAACCGGGAGTGTCTTGGATCTTTTTTTTTTTTTGGATGAATTGCTCCGTATTGCCAAATTGCTGCAATTGTCAAGTGAGTCAAATTGACATCACCGCCACCATACCGTGCTCAAATCTCGGATCAAAACAAATGGCAGCGCATGTCTTGAAAAACTTGTAATTCGGATGGATCACTTGTATCTCACTGTATTTTGAATCAAGACATTTTTGAATGCATCTTTTATCCTCCATTGACATGCAATTCTGACAAGGAGTGAGGCATATAGCATCAGTCTCAGTTCTACATTAGGAGGCTCGGTTCTACACCCAGCCTCCGTCGACTGACTGATTGCTGTGTGTTGCTCCTTAGTGTCTTGGACAGGAGGGGCCTGATGCATGAAGATTCGCCTGTTTCTGCATCGTCTGCTGCACCCTCCTCTTCCTCCTCCTCTTTATCCTTTTCCAACAACAGCAAGCCAGCGCCACCAACCACTGTGAGCATAACATACGCACACACGTTTATCCTCCCCCACTCACACAGCTCCCCAAGTCAAGTGCCTGAATAGAGAATGCAACATAAAACAGAATCTAAAGCCATAATGAGAAAATTTGCGGATGAGAGAAAGAAGTGACCTGCTAATCCATTTTGCAGCATGTGCAGCAGCCATTTTGTGTCCTTTCTCATTTGCATATTCCCACTGCTTCGTTTAATGAACAATTGAATTCTACTTAGAACGTCTGTTGGCTCACGAGTCATGAGAGGTCGAACCAGCTTGTTAAATTTTAGCAGCATTTTGGAGAAAAAGTAATGCAGTGCAATTAATTCAAATTTGACCTATAGTAACTCCTTACTTTTAAATCAAATTTAACACATAACACTCCCATGATGCATTTCGAGGCTGATCCACACGGGAAAAACGAATCACTTGAAAGTACACTGTGGTTAAACATAATTTAATGCATACGTTTTGTTTGATTTCCAACAAAATTCTAATACTACACATTGAACAAGTGTACTGTCGGCGAGTCAATCAAGATTCATTAAAGGATGAGATGATTCCTATTCATTCGAAGGGAGAAACGTGCGTAACAAATGCCTTTTTTCCTGTCTTTGCGCAAATGATCCAGCTCAAAAACCCATCAGAGGTCTACAAATCTGTCACATAATTTTCATGATGAAATCTTTTCACTGAAAGTATCTCACACATTTAGTAGAATAAGTACGTACATTTCAACGCCCTATCTAAATGAGAAAGTACCACAGTAATGAAAATCAAGGAAGTACCAGCACGAAAAAAGCATTATGGACCCCTTCTTCAGTTTCATTTTCATTTTAAAGCTTGACACCACAAAAGGTGTATCATGTGGGGAAAATGGCCAGCTCTAAACGGCAACATTAAATTAAACTCTTGTGACCTATTTTTGTTGTCATCATTACATACAGTATATAATGAACTAGAAACCAAAGAAACAAGGACGGTCTCATTTTTCTCATGACTGTATGTTGAAGTGATGCATCTCGACTGAGAGACTTTGTATGTGGAGGAGTAGCTGAATTTAGCCTGGCTTTTCGAAGTTATGTGCATGTACACCTACACTTCAGAGTCATTTTAGGGGTCATGTTGCAGCAATGATGACTTGATATCTTCTGCCTCCAGAAAACCACAGCGCCGCTCATCCCAAATGAGCACACGCCCGATGATGCCAAGGCGAGCATCGGCGTCTCGGCAGAGCAGAGCTGCTCCCCTGAAGATCTCCCCCCTTCCTTCATTCCGCCTTTGGCTTCCCCCGAGACAGACGCCGAGGCCTCCGTCGCCAAGGACAATAGCCACTAACCGCATTCCTCTGAGTCCTGTCCGGTCAGGAACTCTCATCGCACCCTGACTGTGCGCTGGTGACTCACCTTCTCTCCTTCCCCCATGTGAGTGACGTATCCTCCTTTAGGGAGAGAAGTGATTTAATGGAACGTCAGTATCTTCCCGTCTCCTGAACACTTGGCTTGGCAAGTGTCTCTGAGGGAGCAAAGCAAATGTGTGCATGACAAACCGAAGAAAGGAGCTCCGATCGAATGATCCTTCTTCCAAACCTTGTATTAACTTTAAATGTGAGCGTCCGATATACACCAACCAAGCGGCCGGCAAAGACATTCTTGCTCCTCTTCACGTGTAAATTGTCATTCAGTACAGTCCCCTTTTTCCGTTGTGCACACATTACATGCTCTATGCAAATCGGCAAGGCTGGACGAGTGGTGTTTGTGTGTAGCTGACATACTTTATTGGCGCCGTACAGGCAAGTTAAACATCTACCTTGTATTCTGTGAACTGCTGCATTCAGTACTGTTACTATAGCAATGGAAACACCTGTCCGTCCTTCCTTCCTTCTTTCCCTTTTTATATACATAATTGTTCAAGTCGTGTATAATATTCTGTGACACTCGCTTCACCCACACGAAATATCTTCACCTGGAGGCATCCCGCCATTTCTGTGTGTGTGCATACGTGCGTGTGTGCGCGTGTGTATGTGTGTGTGCGCGCGTGCGTGTCTGCATGTGTATGTAGGCGTGTGTGGCTTTTGATGCTCTTAGACCCTGGTAGCAATTGTGCCTTATCATGAATGCAACAGACGTCTGACAACAAAGACACGCCAGAGTTAAATCCGAAATGCCAACATTAAAACTTTCGAAAGCATACATACATACTCGCAAAAAGTTAGTGATACCCTGGGACTTTGAGATACGAGTGACCTGACAAAAGAATTTTTGGAGTTACAAGCCATCATTCAGCTGATTTGCTGTACTGCCTGCCGGTGGCTAAGGCAAGTACATCCGATGTGGTGGCACAGTGAAGTTAATTGCAACATTAAATCAAGATGCACATTCTCTTGAACTGGGTTTTTAACTCGTTTTTTTTTTTTTTCAAAAATGTAATTTTATAGACATAAATTTTCCCATATTAAGACACAAACAAAAATTTGGTCTGTTTTTTTTAGGGGTCTGGAATAACGGATTAACGGTATTTCCATTGATCTCATCAGCGAAAGATGGTTTGAGAGATGAATGTTTTGAATTATGAGCATAGTCATGGAAAGAATTAGACTCGTATCTCAAGGCACCGCTGTATTCAGCTTTTGGGTTGAATTTCAGAAGTGAACAAGAAATGCAAAATTCACTAAGAAGTACACCTCTCTGCCTTTCTGCGAGTCTTCCAGTCACTCTCTCTCTTTGTTGCAACCTGCTAATGATACTCTGACTGTCTTTAGATCAGAGGCCGCTTATCTCAAGGTGTCAAAATGTGAATGGCATGATGAAGAGGAGTAGATACCAATTGAAAACAAGACGTTTCTAGGCCCAGCACGAATAACAAATTGTGCAAAAATTACTGAAACAATGAACAGTTTTCTATGTACATCCACCAGTTTACAGAAGGTCTAATTAAGTTCACCTGGAAAGTTTTTGTTGCATTTTTGGTTAACCCTGAAATTTCCCCCAAAAGCAGAATATCCATAACTTTTTGTGTACATTAGGTTGAATATGTATTTACTTTCTTGCTGAGAGGCACATGAAGATTAAGACTCGCGTCCTCCAACTGACAACCACTGTTAGCTTAGCGTACATTTCTGCTAAAGAACACTCTTAAATCTGCCAAAGAGTTTAAATGATTTGCTATAAGTCAACTTCAACCTTGATATGCTGTAAAATTGACACGTGGACTAATTGGTTCAAGCCCTATTGTGTGAGGAGCAAAGAAAGAAGAAAGAAAACCAAATGACATTCGGTGTTTTCGTGCGCTAGTCTTGCTTGTCCTTGAAGGTTTCGGGGGAAAGAGTTCAATGTTGCGACTTGTAATGAGGAGTGCAAGCTGTTAATTTGGACAATAATAGAAAGCAAAAAATAAAAATACAACGACAAGCAAAGCCATTGTTGAATTGTACATATGTGGATGTAGTGAAAGAGTTAAAAGCGTTTGACTTTTTTTCAAGTGTTCCCGAGCACCACCGTAAACCCATAAATCACACTCGAACCAATCATCTCCCAGAAGTCCACTTTCTTTCTCCTGCCGCCCTCCTAAGAAAAAAAAAGGCAGCTCAGTTTAACGTCTTTTCATTTGCATCATTCCAGTGGAGGTTGGCCTCGTGGCCGCTTTAAATGCAGGAAATAAAAACGGAAGTAGGCGAGCGTATGTGAGAGATGAGGCTCGACTCACAGGAGGGAAAAAAACGTGATGAAAGTCGAGCTCATTTTTGGTGTTGAAAATGTTAGCAAGTTTGTGATTGTGTACTCTTGTGTCATATGCGTGAGAGAGTGTTAGTCTACTATACGTGTGTAGAAGTGCTAAGTATTGGACACTGCCAACAGATGGGGTCAAAAGTGACCATTTCTCGTGTAGTAGTCATGTCGGTTGATTTTAATTAGATCAAAAAAGGAGAATGAATTGCAAATTTGAGAGATTTTGTCATTCCTGGCAGCTGTTTTTCTTTGTGATGTGATGTGGATACTTTAAGAATGGATGATGGATATTGGAACCTTTTCATGAACCCGAAATGTTTGTTTTTTTTTTCTCTTAGGGGACAAAAGAAGTAATTTGGAAATGGGTGAATGTATGCACCTTATATTTATCACAATATCCAAGCTGATGATTTCTTTTCAATTGTATGATTTTTGTTTAGTTTTGTTTTGTTGATAAATTTGCCATGATCAGACCAGAATGCTCTGATATACAATATATCTATGACATCACGTATACAGATACAGTACTCTTTATTTATGTCCACTTTGTTTGGTCTTAACACTGTGATTCTCTGTATTTTATTCCAGTTACTCCACTTCTTTTTACATCATCAACATGTCGGTTAAATAAACCATATTGTATTAATAATGTCTTTAGCTGTGGACATTTTGAAACTCAACTCAACTTTATTCATAAAGCACACCAAGAAAAAGCCACGGAACAGAGTGCTGTACACATACAAAAATTAAACCGAAGCTATCAAACATTTTGAACAGAAAACAATTGAAACAATAATACAAGTGAAAAATAGCGAACCACTAAACCTGGAGCAGAGTGTCCAAGTTGAAGGCCAAAGGTTAACTAGATAATTTGGGTTGGAAATTAGAGATGGACTGTTATAGTTCTTTCAGGGCCGATACCGAAACCAATTCTTAGTAGCCAAGGAGGCCGATAAGCAATATTTTGAGCCGATATGTATTTTTCATATATATATTGTGTGTGTATATGTTATTAAGAATCAAACTGTCTGTCTTTAAAGGTACTCCTAAAGTGTAGTCTTTTGAGTAGTACTCTTAAAGCTAAAACTATTTTAAGCATTCGTTTATTCGTTTGTTTTTTTTTTGTTTTTTTTAAACACAACCCACCCAAGTTCATAGTTAGACCTGTAGCAACACTCTTAACAACAAAAATGCTTTTGCTCGTCAATCCCTAGCAAGTGACGTCATTTACAGAGTGCCGAGTTGCCAGTCAGCCATTGTAATGCATTGTTGATTGCACTGTTCACATTCAGGCAAACTTGTTGTTTTAGTGGCCAAAAGAAAGAAAAGAATAGGGAACGTAAATTGACCAGAAGATTGGAACGATTTAGTTTTGATGTGCATTCTTTATTACAAGCACTTGGAAGACTTATGTTTTTTGACCGGATTTGCAAAAAAGGTAGTTGTGATTATCAATGAAAAACTATGGCTGTTGTTTATGAAAACATTCGATTCAAAGTATTGTACATGGACATGGATGTAATCCTGTATGAAAACATTCAAACTATATTAGCGCCTGGATGTAATGCTCGGTAATGGTTTACAACTGACAATGCTGCCGACATAATGTACGGCGTGGCCTACAACGTAAAAGAACTACCTTAGCAATGACAATGTCGTAAACCAACCCACTATGACGTGTGCTCTCAGTGCAATGAATACATGGACCAAGTAGGTAATCCCATCGTGCGCATTTTACAGCACGGCGTATCATCGAATTGCAAACAATAATGCTAGGCTGATAAATACAGCCGATGTCGCGCACCGTTCTTACAATCTCTCTGGATCTCATCTCCACTCCATGTCCACAACATTTTCCGCATCCTGAGCATCTAGCTCGTATATGTATTGTCCAACATAGATCTTGCCAACAACCTCCTCTTCCTCCAACACTTCAAACACCTGGATCCCCTCTGATATACCGTATTGGCCCGAATATAAGACGACCCTGATTATAAGACAACCCCCTCTTTTTCAAGACTCAAGTTTGAAAAAAGACTTTTTGAACACCAAATTATGTTTTATACAGAAAATAATTACAGTGTATCTGAAACAAATGATTATAACAATATATTTGAGAGAAAGAGCATGTTATTTTGCCTCATTCAAATCTTAATATCTGAACATTTAAATATGTAAACTAAAGTGCAATCAAATTCGTGAATGAATGGCTTCTGGTTTTTGAAATGTAAATTACAGTACATCATAACTTCTCTTCAGCTGCCGGTTAACCTGGCCGATCTTCGACCCACTTTTCTGCAGATTGTCACTACGTTTCTCCATTTTCTGTTATCTCTTCTATTATTTTCTTCTCTTTTCCTTCTTACCACTATTTTTTATTTTTCTTCTTCATGCTACCGCTAGTTTTATTTTTATTCTTCGTGACAGGAGTTCACTTTGGCCTGGGAAGTCAAGTTCAGCATTTGCTTCAATGATATCTGGTGCCATCTAGCGTCGTGAATTGGTATAATGTCTAGACCCCGAATATAAGACGACCCCCACTTTTTCAGTCTTATTTCAATGCAAAAAACACCGTCTTATATTTGGGCCAATACTGTATTTGAAACATCTCTTTCCGAATAGATTTCTGAACGGCTTTCCATGGTGAGCCCCTGCTTCTGATGTCTTGAAGTGAAGTCACATTTCCATCAGGATCTCATTTTGGGAAAAAAATTACTTAAATTTACGAAATATAAATAATTTTTTCCCCATGCTTTATTTATTGTGTTTTGTTTACTTTTTCTAAAATTACTTCACACTTGACCTTTAAGGTGCAAAATGAAATACGTTGCAGAAAATTCTCCGGTTTTATTCAGAAACTATTTATAGCACATATAGAAGTCATACATTAGACTCTCATGTGATGCAAGCGTCAAGACAAAACTACTGAAGAGTCAAATGCAATTATCGCAGAAGATCATGACAATTGAAAAAGGCCACACTTTCTAGGAAACAATCCAAGCAGATTTACAAAAGTGCAGCAGATTTTGACGGTGCGATGATTATGTTTGTGTCACAACACAACGCCCCCCCACTGCTACTGTCCAAAAAAAAAAACTTTAGGACCACAATGAAAACATTCACACGATTCGATTTGGAGTCTTCAATATGCTTCTTGCACACTCAGTTCTTGCAGGTATTGTTGGACATCATCGATCACCTTTTGTTCCGTCTCCTTGCTGGTTTCTGACCAGTCATCCTGAGGCTCCCTTTGCGGTTGAGCCTCCTCAGGCTTCACATCCAGCTGCTCCGAGCTGTCAAAACAGCCTGAATCCCTCGGTTCCTTTGGTCTTGTCTCCACCTCCTCCTCTTCCTCATCCTCCTCTTGCGGACTGGATTCATCCTCGGCTGCCAAATAATTGATATGTTTAGTACAGGAGATTGAAACGTGTGTGTGTGTGTGTGTGTGTGTGTGTGTGTGTGTGTGTGTGTGTGTGTGTGTGTGTGTGTGTGTTCTTAAAAAGAAAAGTAACGATTAATTAGTGGCACATAAAAAAGCTTTTTTTTCTCCAACTGTTTAACTGCATTGTTAAAACTTTTTTGTTCTAATATTACGACTTTATCATTGTAACTTTTTCACATTTTTCCAGTAATATGAGGACATTAAGACTTTTCTGGTAACTTTGCAAGTCTATTTTGATAATATAACATTTTACCTTGTTCGAGATTTGTTCTTTAATGTGTTGTAAACTGTTCTGGGAACATTGTGACTTTTTTCTGGCAATATTACAACATGCTGGATTTGATCAATCTTTGCAGCTTTTTTTTTTTTTTTTTTTTAGGGGGTAGCAAAGAGTTGCTGCAATTCATTTCATTTCACAGCTACCGCAGACTGAGTGCGGAGGAAATGAAAACGTGTGTGCAAGCGAGATGAGCTCGAATGTCAAGATGTCTTACAAAAGATTGAACATGAGAGTGAGTGTAAAGCTGCATAAGAGAGCAGTAAAAAATTTGTCGTTACATGGCTGAGGCAAAGAAGTGGGATGGTAGCATAACAGATTCCCGACAAGCACACTTCCTGTGTCAGAGGGACTACGAGATGACTTTCTGACTGACAGCGCAGACTTTCTAAAGATATGATGGAAAATTGACTTCTAATACCTTTACAATCCTTGTCAAATGAAAACTAATTTGTCATGTAAAGCTTCACACACCAGAGAGAAGAGAAGAATTGCCAAGGAAATAAAATGAGGCTTCAAAATCATTAAATTAGCCATTAGTGGCTTTGTGAAAGCACGTCATTCATTTGCAGTCAGTAGACATCTCCTGCTTTGGAGGGAGTCTCGGAGTCATCAATAACATCCTGAATAGGCGCTGAATTTGCTGCCCGTGGCTTTTTGGAAAAATAGTTGCGAGGGGGGTCAGAGAAGTGGCTAAGTATGAGGATGAAGTCGGCAATATTGAGTATAGCTGCTGCCTTTGTCGCAACGCCATTGCTTTGTGCACAGGCATGACCCTCAAAATGCGGTGATTTGAACAAGAGTGGGAAGGAGAAATGACTATCAAGTGTGCTCCAACTCTATCATTTGTGAATTTTAACTGATTTAATAATGATGGTAGATGTCGTAAAGCTACTGATTCAGATTGTGAAAAATGTGCAAAAGTCTCCTTTTAATTTTGGTTAAACGAGTTGAAGAGAGAGACATTAAGGAGGATCACTAAAACCTACGGTCTCGGAGCAGGTCGGCAACGCTCAGGATCTTGGCGCGTTGATCCGGGTCAGTGATGTTCAGTTCATTGAGATGAGACTCCCTCAAACCCGTGAAGTCTTCCAGGTTCTGAAATCCATGCATGGACAGCAAGGAAGACAACTCCTGGAAAGGGATGGAGGTCATTTGTGAACAAGTAGCTTGTGGCTAGTGATTGTGTTCTATTAGTAGGCCTATCGATTGAACCACATACCTGTCAACCCTGGCTAATAGCTGCCCTTATAAATGATTACGATTCCCCTTACAAAGCAACAAAAACCCTTACAACATTTACCGCGCATGCGCACATCATGCTTTATCAATCCTAAAGTACGCAGCGATGGATAAAAAATATACGATTGGGGATTACTTTTGCTGGTTTGCCGTAACAATAGGAGCAATCGACGACGGCATTGTGGTTGGCTACCAGCAGGTGAGACGATCTGGATTTGAGCCAAAATGGTCTTTGTGAGATCGGTTCACAATTTTTTTTTTTTCCCGTATAAAAGTTGTAATACGCCGTGCATGATTTGACATGATAAAAAAACGTATAAAATACGGGGAAAACGTACAAGTTGACAGGTATGGAACCATGAATCATAAAAGCAAAAGTAGTTAGAAGAGATCGCACCATCAGCCCAATGCAGTCCAGCACCTCCTCCAGGGTGGATGGTTTGGACTTGTTTCTGTTGGTCTTGCTGTCACAACGTCTTCGCCTGACAGGGGGGCTCTCGTCGGGCAGGAGATTGATGTATATGAACTTAAAGGAGCCCACCTTGTGGTGGAGTTTTCCTGTCCATGTGCCCACGGGAGGCTTATCGATAATGTGGATGATGTCTCCTTTCTGGAGGAGGAAGGAAGCACAATCTTGAGATGTAATCTAACCTATGCACCTTATTCCTAGGCCCCCGTGAGTCTTTCCGTGATATATGGGCGCGACTTCCGGTATAGCAAAACTGGCGTTTTGTTTCCATGGAAACTGTCCCGAGTCCACTTTCCATGACAGTTACAGACTTTAACAAGCCCTCTTCCGGCTAATGTAGCGGGGTAGGAGGATAACAACAAAAGAGGCCAGCGATAAGGTACACTTACATATTTAACAACTTTCCGTACTCTCTTGCTTCAGACGTGAGGCAACGAGCGTCTCAAACGCTCCGAGACATATCAGTACCTACACACTATTAATTTAATAAATCCCTCATGCCATGCAGGTACACTCCATGTACAACTGCATGCGTTGTGTTGCAAAAACAAATGCATGCCATGCATGGGTTTTAAACCTGTGGCATGCATTTGTTTTTGCGACACAACGCATGCAGTTGTACATGGAGTGTACCTGCATGGCACGAGGGCTACAGTTTGTCACGTTTTGTTGAAAGAGGTTCGACACATTCTTAAATTGAACTTAAATCTTTGTTGCATTATTGACTGTTGCTGCGCATTTCTGCATCAAGGTACGCCTCAAAACTACAAATGGTATCCCTCTTTTGGGATGCAAAAACAATTGTCTTGCCAGTTTTTTTGGTGGCCAACATCAAGAGAATGATTTCAGAATGATGTCATCCGGTAGACTCACTTGAAGTTTCAGGGACTCCACATCGTAGGGACTTGGGGTGAAGTCGGTGTGCACCACGGCGCGGCCACAGAAGGGTCCGTCGAAGGAGACAGCATTCTCCTCCAGTTTCATGCTGTCCCTCTGACAATAACCGCTGTCCAGACTCTGTCTGTCACTATCTGAAGAAGAAGGGCACGTATGGACCGGAATACTTCACGACAAAAAAGGTCAATGTTGAGGAAGTCTTACTGCCAGAAAAAGGACAGGTGACAGGACTGGAAACCGTCTCTTCTGAGCCTGTGGAGGACGTTGACATCCTCTGGCCTCCCCACTTAGGGGACATGAGTTCCTCACTGCTCTCCCCTTGAAGAGGCTAAGACCAACATGGTGTCAAGTTTGTTATTATTATTATTGTGTTATTATGATTTACAGTTAGCTGCTTGTGTGTGTGTGTGTGTGTGTGTGTGTGTGTGTGTCAAATTATGTTGCAGCTGTAAATGGACAAAAATCGTACTCTGTCTACCACGACTGTAAGTGACACAGGAACAGGTGGTAATATGAGTCATTTTTCTGTCAGTTTTTTATTTTATTATTATTAACAACTTTAACGTATTTAAGCATTTCACTAAGATTTTACATGTACAGTGTACTGTCGTTGTGTATGTATCCAATGACATTCTTAGTTTTGGATCATGATGTTTTGATTTTAAAAAATTAAAAAAAAAAATCTAATTATTTCATGTTATTGGAATGATCATATGCAGATTTATAATATTTCATCATTTCACTAAGATTTTACATGTACATTGTACAGTGTACTGTCGTTGTGTATGTATACAATGACATTCTTGGTTTTGGATCATGATGTTTTGATTTTAAAAAATTTAAAAAAAATCTAATTATTTCATGTTATGGGAATGATCATATGCAGATTTATAATATTTCATCATTGTATTTATAGTTTTTGTTAAATTTTATTACACACACATCCATCTAATTATTACATTTAAATTATATTCATTCATTTTGCGATCCGCTTTATCCTCACAAGGGTCGCGGGGGTTGCTGGAGTCTATCCCAGCTGTCGTTGGGCAGTGGGCGGGGGACACCCTGAACCGGTTGCCAGCCAATTGCAGGGCACACGGAGACGAACAATCATCCGCGCTCACACTCACACCTACGGACAATTTAGAGTGTTCAAGAAGCCTATTTAAATCATATGTACTTCTATAATTATAATTACAATCGACATATTTCATGCAAGAACTTTTAAATATAATTGACTTTTTCAATTTGTTTTTCAATGTGAAATTCATGCATGCAGTAGATGTATTTGACCACCAGATAGAGACATTACCCAAATGCGCCATTAGCAGCCTATTTAAACATATGTACTTTTATAATTATAATTATAATCGACATATTTCATGCAAGAACTTTTAAATATAATTGACTTTTTCAATTTGTTTTTCAATGTGAAATTCATGCATGCAGTAGATGTATTTGACCACCAGATAGAGACATTACCCAAATGCGCCATTTGGGTAATGTGTGACTCATTTCACCTGCAATAGATTGTAGTGACACAAAGTGCATTATTCAGTGTATAGTGTTTCGAATCATATTTACCCCCTCCTCGGCTAGAACCTTCTGCACCATCTTGGAGTTCTTGCGGGTTATCGTGCGGGAGATGACGTAACGCCACTTCTTGCTCAGTTTGCCGCCACTTTTCCCTCCCTCCGTGACGCTCTCTTCAACCTGAGAAGGGTGCACAATTGTTTCACTGTTTCAACCCCCCCCACATTGCAACACCATATCCACAGCTGATCGGGACGATGATGACATTTGTTTGAGTTTCTTCCTGATTCAGAATTATCAATGTTGATTGCAAACCAATTCCCCCCCCCCAAGGCTAAATTAGCCACTGACAACTACAGTGGGTGCTATAACTCATATTTTGTGAGATAAAATCTGGAGAATTTGCAGTATACAGCATTGATGATTTATTTCACAGTCATTGCTTCTTCTGGTGACTTGCTTTTAGAGGTTTTGTGTTTTTCATCAGATGGTGGCATTTTGGACTTGAAACACACTGGATATTTATGTTGAATCACATTGCTTGCGCTCGCTTTTATCCACAACAGAGGGACTGTTGTCATATTCAGTTTCACAAGATGGAACAAAGTCAGTATCATCTAAATTGCCTCAAAAACAAAAAATAAACGGAGATTAAAAAAAAAAAAAGGTTTCCCACAGTTGTACTTTAACTTCCTGAACTACTTTTCGAGACTGATCGATCTCTGAACCTCATTATCTGAGATGTTTTTGCCTGGTTTCATGGGAGCGACCATCTTGGAAATGGGAGTTGGACCAGTGTTCATCTGATGAACCAGGAAAAGTGCTGAGTGCACTGAAGGAACAAAGAACTGCCTCCTCGACTGTATATTAAAACTAGATCTAAAACTTGATTTAGATTATTACTCAGCTGACCTGAAATTACTTTTCTGTATTCAATTCTGCACTTAAAATAAAAAAAAAAACAAAAATAGAGTTAACCCATTGTAGTTCTCAGTGGCTCAAAATGGTTTATTTGCACTAACAAAATGCACAACCCAGTGCGAACATAGTGACATGTGCTTATCCGGAAAAATGAAGTGAAATGTTTGTCAGACAGACTGTTGCGGCTCTCTGCTTGACTGCCTGTCGTCATGCAAAGGACATCCTGTCTGCACGTTATGCTCAGAAGCACAAAAGACATAAATATTGGCTTCCAATGAACTGCGGTGTGCGGAATCAGGAAGTTTTGCACTTCTGCAACATTTGTTTCTGACCTGCAATTAGGGTACAATGACATGTTTGGAGAAACGCCAACAGTTCCACTTTTCACTCAAGCACTGATGAAATGTACACCTCACTGTAAGTGCATCTGCGAAATCCACAATATCATATTATAATAAAAAAAATAAAATGCTAGTAAAATATATATAACTAAGATCTTGAGCATGTTTTAATACAGTCCATTTTTTATTTATAATTACGCGAATTATAAATAACATAATTTGAAAAATCTGATTGTGTGACAGGCCGATAATCTGATTGTGTGATAGGCCGACTCACAGTCTCATCGAGGACAAACTCCTTGTCCGGCATGACAGGTGAGGTCACTTTGGGCTTCATGAAGTCCTTGAAGCTGCTTGACCTCTGAAGAGTGAGCTGCAAAAACATTTTTCTTTAAACCTGCATCACCAATTACTGTGATCAATAGGAACACCATCAGAAAAGATTAAAGTCACACAGAGGCACCCATGCACACAAACGCACGTACACATTTCATAATCTCCACAAATGTGTGAAGACATGACTTGAATGTGACTTTTTCTTATCTACTTTTTCCGGCTAAAGAGTTAGAAAATAATCACTTTGACTGCAATATGGAGGGACCATAAAATAGTTTAACGCACTTTACGCACATTTAAACTTGAAACACTTTTAAAGAAATGGTAAATGTATTTGAGCACAAAATTTCGAAGCAGAAAATTGAGAGAAAACATGATCTATGTCTGTGTATATGCATGTGGCTTTAAGAGGCGTGGCCTTATAGGCTGGCGTGTGACATCTACAATTCTGAGTGTCTCGGTGTGAGATGAAGTTGACAGCGATTCCTAGGCACGAGTGTGCCTATTACATTTATGAGATTTACGTTACTCCCGGTGTTCAATAAATGGCTCAAAGGTGCGTTGGCAAATGTGGCTCTCCTTTCCCATTTGGGAGGGCATTACCGTAAGTACCATGGTGTTTTGAGATATAAGCACTTTATGGTGATAGTTAACTCGATTCGAGAGAATTACATGTCAGGTATTTAACACAACCACATGGTTTTCTCCACGAAATACAAACAAAAACGCCATTGACATGTTAACGGTCAGCAATCGATAACCTCTAGGAACAAGGACTAATATTACAGTACAGTATCTTACTGACTCACTTAACAGTTGTGGAAGAAGAAGGACAAGCAGTAGTACAATTCGTCTTTGCTTGCATACGAATGACGGTATTCCACAACGGTGGCAAAGGCGGGCACACCAGAAGGCGCAGCACAATAAATTGGATGGCAGCATTAAATTATGTAGCACATGATCATGATGTGGTAACAAAAAAATAAGAACTTGGGTAAATCCCACAATGTGGAAAATCAGGTCCCAGGCAGGAGTGTTCATTAAATAATGCAAAAATAAGAATGACTAAATTATTATGGAGGTCTACAGTGACGAGGGGGCTACCTGAAGCATTGTTGAAGGGTGTTTTTTTTTTTTTTTTTTTTTGACTTTAACGAAAACTACTTCTGCAGCCATGATTCACTCGACCAGAATAGAGGAACTAGATCTTTTTTCTCGAACTTCAAGTGGTTAAATTGTGTGCGTGTGCGTGTGTGTGTGTGTGTGTGTGTGTGTGTGTGTGTGTGTGTGTGTGTGTGTGTGTGTGTGTGTGTGTGTTAACCACAAAGTTTGCTGTAACGTGCAGATTTCCTCGGGAGATAAAAAGTCTTTAAAAATCCCCTACATATTTAAACATCAAATGTGTTAGTACAGTTTATTACAAGTATATTTATGTATTTCAGTAATAAAAAAATACTTCTGCTTCTGCCCCCCCGTCACATTGAAATGCACTAGAACAGTGAAAAGGTTTTCCTCACCTTTTTCTTCTGCACCTGCTCCTTCTCTGAAGCGTTGGAAGGCTTTCGCCTCAACATTTCGTTGTCGTCGGCGTGCAGGCGACTTGGAAGAAAACAAGAAAAGTTGGGTGAAGGTTTCTGTTCTTGTCTCTGAGTTGAGAGAACAAATGTGAAAATAGATGAGACAGAGGAGATGCACGCCCCCGCTACTGAAACAAGAGCACACACTAAGGGGAAGTCACATAAACGCATAGCAACAAACCCACTACTGCACATTTCACTCCTGCAGTCAGCACTTTAATAGACGACAAAATAGTTTAGCATCATTATTAAATGCTCTTGCATTCAGTACCATGGTGCCTTGAGATACAAGTTCAGATTTTTCCTTGACTATGCTCATAAGACAAAACCGTCATCACAACATCTTGCATTAAAATGAATGTTAATAGCATTAATCCGTTCCAGCCTCAGAAAAAAAAACAAACAAAAAAATAACTTTTGTAATGTGTTCTGAAAACATCCAGTCATGACATAATTTAATAAAGTTAAAAAGAATTAAAAGAATAAAACAGCCTTCTGGTGTGCGCACCTTGGCTACCTCGGGAAAGTTTAAGACAGAGGCTTATTGAACACTCACATCCTCACTCGACTTCTTGTCACTGCAGTAATATTAGTCCTTCTTTGCAGAGGACAAAGAATATAAGCATGTCAGTAGTGTAACATCATTACATATCTTATATCTTCCAAATTGCTATTTGCCACGATGTGTGTTGAGCAACTTGCCACCGCACAGTACCCGAATCCTGAGTTTGGCCAATCGACGGCTCATGTCTCGAAAAACCCTTAAGTCAGGTAATTCGTATCAAAAGGCAGCACAAGTCATGTTTGTACACCAACAACATGAAAGCGTTGAGTATTCTTCAGTAGAGTGCACCTCATGATGCTTACTGTTGACACATTTTTTTTCCTTCTTCAGCACAACGTGAATCATGGTCGCTCTTTTTAAAGCTGTTGCTCATGTCTCCACCCTGTGATTTATCAGCATATTTTCCTCAGCTGTGACTATTTGTCAGCATGGCTGAAGGAAGGCCCTTTTCACAAAACCACTCTGCAGCACCAAACACAAACCAGGACAACTAGACTACATTCCAAATTATTATGCAAATGATATTTTCCTCAGATTTTCCTGACTCGTGAATGGAACTGATAGACCGTATAATTTTCAAGTCATCAACTATCCATCCACCCGTCCATCCATTTTCTGATCGGCTTATCCTCTCGAGGCTCGCAGGCATGCTGGAGCCTATTCCAGCTGTCTCCGGGCACCGTGAAATAGTTGCCAGCCAATCGCAGGGCACACAGACCAACAACCATTCATCCTCACAATCACACCCAAGGACAATTTAGAGCGTTCAAGCAACCTACCATGCATGGTTTTGGAATGTGGAAGGAAATCGGAGTAAAAAACCTTACGCAGGCAAGGGGAGAACAGCGCAGAAGTGAAGGTTTCAATTCCAGGCCCAGGCCCTCTTGTGTGGAGTTTGCATGTTCTCCCCGCGTTTGTTTGTTTGTTTTTCAAATGGAGGCTGATGCATAACAAAGCAGAAAATGAGAAGAATACCAGGCACAACTTTTACACCCTACTAAAGCTAGTTACCATATATTCTGTACCTTCCACTACTCACTACTATGACAACTACTCCATTTGTTCCTTGTGCAAATGTCGTGCAAATGTCAGTTTAATGTTTCTGTATTTTGTGTCAGACATACAGTAGGTAGTAAAAGGAGAAAGGGAAGTAAACCAGGTCTAGCTTGTTTGTTTTTTTGGGGCGTTTTTACAAACCACATGAAGAGAGGATGCCCTATTTCGGCTTCCTCTCTTCATGCCACTCCAACTCGCTGAACAACCGAGTTCACATTTTGCTGGCACGTCATGGAACAGCCGAAGCTAACCGCTTGTAATCTCTGAACACAACGTCGATACTAGGCACCCTATTAGATGCAGTACACCTGCACAACATAAGGAGATCCAATACTAGAGCATGATGTTTGCCTTTGATGATATCAATGCTCTGTTTTATTCGACATTGTCAGAAATGCATTAGTAGAACAGTATGTTCATTATGATAGTAGTAGTTTGCATTAAATAGTATCATCGTGGGAGCCCGGCCCTGCTATTGGATGCTGACCAGACCAGGGCAGCAGGGATAGTTTAGAGCAGGGGTGTCAAACTCACTTTTGTCGCGGGCCACTTTGGAGTTACGTCTTCCCTCGGAGGGCCGTTACGACAGTGAAACCAAATAAATGTTTGATTGTCTCATTGTATTATTGCTTGTACACAATAAATTGGTCGATTGCTAGTTTGTGAAATCAGTCCAGTCAACTGCAATAGTTTGTTCAATTATTGTTTAAGTGAGTGTAAACAGGGAAACAAAATTATTGTCAAATATCTGTTATTTATTATATATGAAATTTGACATTTAGATTTTAGCAAGGATCATGCAAGTTGACATGCTTGATTTGCTTCCGTGGGCCACATAAAATGACGTGGTGCACTGGATCTGGCCCCTGGGCCTTGATTTTGACACCGGTGGTTTACAGTCTCATGCACATAATACTGTACCATAATTTATACATGTGAGGTGTTGGTATTTTTTTTCCCCTTGGAGGGTCTCCATCCTCACAACATACAGTGCTATAGTATTTGTGACTGAATGAGTATGACTAAAATGTGGTTGACTGGTCTCTTGAGGGATTGTCAGCGAATGGGAGTGGGTGCTTACTTTACCGTAAAAGTTCCACTGTGTAATTTAGACGGGATAAACAAGTCGTACCGAAGCTTCTTTTATTGCACGGGAAGTCAACCATCAAAAACTTTCTTGAAAATAATATGTTGCATATGTCCCCACTAGTCTAAACATGGTATGCTGATTAACATTGTGCTTGTGGAATATGAGTTAAACAACAAACTCCTCCTGTTTTTATCCATCTCAGGGACCACTTTGCTGTTGACTGATAATTTGCTCCGGACTCAGGTAAGAACCAATCATGGTTTAGCTTGCGAATGTCACATGACTAAACTCAGAAAACAGGTGAGCTGTGATTGGTTCTTACCTGTTGACTTCCCCTTTAAGTGATATGTTAGCCCAAACATTCTCGTCCACACAATCTCTCCTGCTGGCTTGCTTTAATTGCTCTCTCATGAAAAAAGATCACAAAATCCCATAATATTTTTCAGTAATTTCTAAGATTCAACTGGGAGTGGCAATAAGTTAGTTGAATTGGCTCCCACTGTTTTGTGCTTGTATCTCACATTTTTTTTCTCACAAGTCAAAGCAAATTACACTCGAATCTAGTACAAGTCCCAATTCGGGTCAATTTTATCCCAAGGCACCACTGTACTTCTGCTTGGTAGAATCAGTAAGAATGAATCCAATTGCAAGTGACACATATTCTACTTTATTTGAAGGATCTGCAGTTTCAGGTAAACAGAACAAAGTAGGGTACAAATACAGTAATGATATGGAAAATAATGTTCTAGGTATTCAAAAAAACAAAATCACTTCAATGCTGCATTTGAGTTACCTCAGGAAAGGTATACTTCAAACATGACAAAAAACAAATAAGTTATGCAGTGTGATTCCATAAATAGTTGAAAAAGCATCAAATTCATACAAAAAAAAACCATTTTCAAATTTGGAACGAAAAGGTCAGAGTCCAAATGTCAGTGCTTCTCTCCCCCTGATAGACCTGTACATACTATGCATAGAATAGACACAACACAGCCAGAGCCAAAGTGACGAGGGTGGGTGAAGGGGAGCGGATGGTTGAAGAAGATTTGGAGTCCACAAGGGGTTCTGTGTGTCTCAGCATCCAGCTCTTCACCTCATGGAGGCCCTGACGGTCCAGCTCGGGAGCCATCAGCCTCCGGATGGTCTCATAATATTTATTCAACCAGTGCAGCTGGAGTGAGAGTGGAAAGAGCATTTTCGAAAGCAATGGTTCACTACTGCTGAAGTAGCATCTGGTGTTTCATAGCGATGTGAACGAGAACCACTTTTGCTCTGTGGGAATATTTCTTCATAACTTTTTCTCTCTCTCTCTCTCTCTCTCTCTCTCTCTCTCTCTCTCTCTCTCTCTCTCTCTCTTTTTTTTTTAATTTTTTTTTTTAAGCAATGAGCTTGGAAGCTGACACAAGATTTGCTTTTGCGGCCCACTGAAGATGATGTGGTGGGACCGATCTGGCCCCCGGACCTTGAATTTGACACCTATGTTGAAGTGTATTGAAATGAAGATTGGTGGAAAGGGATTTACAAATCATTGCATTCTGTTTTTCCTTTTTACACAAAGGTCTAGTGGAGTTGGAGTTTGAATAAAAAAAATCATCGTGATGGTTTCTTATGTACAGAAATACTCTCATCTCTTGATTAGTTGAATATTAGCAGTAAGCTAACATGAACGACATAAAATATTTTGCTCTGTTTTTAGTGAATCTACATGAGTTTCACTTTTTGAGCTGAACTACTGAAATCTAAATGATACTATATATGTTTTCCACAGTATTATAATTTATTGATATGCACTAGTGTATATTGTGATAATTGGATCTACAGTGCATAGTATTTCCAATCCGTGCATTTATTCATATTGCATCACATTGTCCTATTCTGTACTGTTTACATTTCCATTTGTTGGATATTTTGCTGCTCTGCATACCATAGTTTGGTGTGCTCGTTTTTGTAATTTACAAAATATAATTTTCTTCAAAAATTACAGAAGAAATGGTCAGTTTTGTTTTGATGAAGAACACTTTCTTCTTCACTTGGAGAGAAAAAAAACTGGGGGCGGGGTTTGAGAGGAACCAGCACTCTTACAGCAGGGAAATGAAAACATCTCAGATGTGAGACCACATTTCAAGTTGTTGACACCTTTGAAACAGGAAACTGATAAGATCCTGATTAAAAAAAAAAAAACAACAAAAAAAAAACTTGCCATATATTAACATAATATAAACTCACAGATATTCTCGGATTTAAAGACATTTTGTTCATCATTCTCATACAATTACCTGAACTGGGCTCAGAAGAGACACGTCAATCAACTTCCTGTCATACGGAACCAAAGACACAGTGTCAAACGTCAAGTAGTTATGGCCATACTGGAAGAGAAGGATGGCGCCAATTACCATACACGATTTATTAAAAATAAATGACTGAATGATCTGTAAGTATACCTTTGTATGGGCGGGCACAACCACTGCAATGTCTTCAATGCGAATGCCAAAGTCGTTATCCTTGTAATATCCGGGTTCTATGAACAAAATCAGGTGAATGCCCACAAATGGCCTCATGTAAATTTATTTTTCGCTAAGATTAGCAAATGATGATTTGTGACAAAAAAAGTCTCACCTATAGATGTGAACATGCCTTCTCTAAATGGAATGTTGTTACCCTGAAAACCGACAGGCCCTAAACAACGAATAGGAGAGTCAATTATTTTTTATTAAATGTATTATTTATGATTAAAAAAAAATGTACAAATTAAATAAATCAGTGGAATCAAATAACAAAACTAAGAACCTACAAAATATGAATATAGAAAAATAGTACATTAATATTTAGTAGTAGTTTTTTATCATACATACAAGTAATAAAAGAAAAAAAGGACTATTAAAAATCATTCATAAAGAATACAAAAGATGAGACTAGTAAAAAATGAAGGCGTATACCAGCATTTATTATCTGTGCAGTATTATTTATTATCAGAAATAAATAATTAAAAATAAATACTAAAATAATTCTGAAAAAATACAAACTATAAGATTGGACAGAAATAGTCCAGTGTATTCGTATTTATTAGTGTATCATTTATTTGGTTTAATCGAACCCTGCACCTCTGCGCTGTGAGGCCAACGTGCTAACCAGTTGCTCATCTTGCCACCCTTGGGCATGCAACGCTGCAAATAATTTTAATGCTGATTGTGAGGGGTTTTTTTTGGCGTGCTTAGTATTTATTTACTTGGTGTAAAAAAAAAAAAAAAAAAAAAAAAAGAGAACCACTGCGAAAACATATTCTGCCTAAGTAGGTACGAGATAAAAGAGGTGGCGTACACTCATGAACCCCGAAATAATTGCCGACCCCATGTCCTGTGCCATGGCCGTAGTTGAGGCCCACTTCCCACAATGCTCTGCGGCCCAGCATCTCCATGTTTACACCTGGGGACGGACCACAAGCTTACACACTCAGACAGCCTGCTGCAAAAACAGCAACAGCCCAATATTACCATCTAGTGGTTAAGACTTTAGCTAGACTTGAGCTACTTATGAATGAACATTCCCCACCTCTGGTTCCGGAAGGAAATACGGTTCGAGATATTTCTATGTTCCCCATAAGAACTCTGGTGTAGGCCTCCTGGTTAATAACACAGACAAGTCAATATTAGTTTATTTCAGACTACAAAAGTGTCGTAATGGAAGAATTTCCTATACAGCGGTGCCTTGGGATACGAGTGAATGATTGACGAGTTTTGCGAGACATGAGCTGTCATTAGCGCTTTATGGTGGCAGTGAGCGCAATTCAACTCTCTTCACAAAAAGCAATGAATCTTCAAATTGTTTATTGCCACTCCCACCTGAAGTTTACTGTCAAAGTAAACATCAAACAAAGAGGAGTGCACCATTTGTATCCAAATCAACCACATAGCTTTGCTTTAGGAAAGTTTGCTTCTCTTTTTACAAAAACTAACATGCTAACATTTAGCATTAATAGAAGCAATTGACACTGCAAATGGTGACATAACACATGTGACAGATAATATAACAATATTCATAGGCACATACTCTTCATGCTCTGTGAAAAATGACTAATATTACTAATTATCAATATTTTCACTGAATCACTCAGAGTTGTAGTTGAATAAATACTATACTTTTTGAAATGTCAATATGACTGTATTTTACAGTACTGCCCCCCTGTGGCCAATATTGCAGCAAACGATGCGGAAACTGTTTAATTCTTCACGTTCTATGCAATCTTGTTTTCTATTTATGTTATCATTAAGTACAATATTATAGATTGATTTTTTTTGCCGTATTGAAAAACACACACGTTTTTGTTTTGGGGGCTGAAACTGATTCATGGTGTTTCCTTTCATTTTGAGTAAGATACAGAATGAGCGTTGTGAGTTTATTCAATTAAAGTTGTATCTCAAGCCAACACTGTATTACTATGACTATGTATCAGATTCAAAGTGTTACCTTTTGCATAGCAGTGGGTGTCCCCCAATGGACTGTCCGAGTGATGTCAGTGGTCCCATCTCTGACGGTGTGGAGGTAAGTCATGACACCAAAGCAACCATAAGTGACGTGTGTTCCCACGTGAATGTGTACATGTGTGAGTTCTTACTCACAGGTACTGGCCACCTGAGTCAACCAGGTACATCTCATCCACTTTCAGCTTCCTGTTGCTTTCTCCTGTTGGGCTACAGCATGAAAAGCTTCAGTCGACAACAAATCAACACTGAAACCTGATTTTAGCGTGTACTGACTATAATCCATTCCTGAGCGATAATTCTTTTGTTTCTTCCTGTGTGTTAATCGTTTTATTAAGGTGGATTGGTCAAAATTCAGATTCAGACCCAAATTTCATTTGATTAGATTGTGTGGGTATACCCAAATCTTGAAGAAGTTCAGTAAGAGGAAATAAAGAAAAACTCCATATTTGTCAGAATTATAATGACTTCAAACAGATGTTATCAGGCAGTGGGCACGTAACAATAAAAAAGAAGGTGCACTGAAATACGAGTGACCCAAAAAGAAGTTTTTTAGAGACTGGAATTGACAAATGTTATTCATTCAATATTCAATGGGAAAAGATGCTTTGAGACACGAGTGTGATCATAGAATGAATGAAGCCTGTATCTCAAGGTATCATGAGGACATTTACCTGTAATGTGCCAGTGCAGCATTAGGTCCACTTGCTGATATAGTCTCAAAACTCGGGCCCTTGTTGTCCTTCTGTTTGCTGAAAATGTTTTTTTTTCCTTCTTAATATATTCAGGCTTTCAGATTCTATTGTGATCTGTACCGAGAGTATGGCGACTGACCTTCGACAGTCATTGACATACACAGAGGCACTCAGCTCCGTCTGTTTTCCCGCTGGCACCACCTTCTCCAACCACATGAGAAGCTGCATGACAGCCACGGCATCCCTCACCTGGAAAGAAGCCACAATGAACTATTGAGCAATAATAATATGATGATAATCAAAAAATAAAATTAAGAACAATGGGTAGAAAATGATGAATGACATTAAAAACGCATTGTTTTATTTCAATTAATATAAAAACATTTATTACTGAAAAATATGAATTAAATGCTAAATAACATATGACAGAATCTCCAAATCCCCCAAATCGTTACTTTTTAGGGAAAAAAATGCTCAATCTTGTTGAGCCATTTTCAGTGCATCATCACAGAAATCGAGCCAACTAGCCAACTGATCAATGGTATCCATTTGTGAAAAAATAGGAAATTGACTCCATTAGACATCGGAGATTTCAGACAACACCACTGATATGTAGTCATATTACAACTCATTCCTGTGACTACAACAACAAATCATATTAGCAATAATAGTTTCGTTTTTTAAATTAAAATAGCATTTAAAAAATTGTGAAATCACATAACACCATCATCACCACCACCAAGCAGTGACGATTAATTATAATGCAGATGATGATGATGATTCTGAATAATAATTATTATGAATATATTCAATTTATTTAATGTAAAAAAATGAAATTAAAATCAAAATAGCATAATTACTACGACTACTATTACTACTACTAGTTCGACGAGTAATACTAATATTGTAATGATTATGGAAGTTCGTTGTTCATTTTAAATAACAGCATAATAATAATAATAATAATAATAATAATAATAATAATAATAATAATAATAATAATAAAAACAAGTAAATCAGTCATGTGTTTGTGTGTGTGGGTGACATACGTGAGCATCCCTCAAGATGCGCTGCTCAGTGTCATCTTTCACAGCCTTGGTGGTCAGCACAGGAGAATAGGAGCTGCTCATTAGTTTGTCCTATGGGACACAAGTGGGAACAAATGCATTTAGACAATTGAAATCAGACAAGGATGGCAAGAAAATGGGCGCCACAATATTCAATGGGAAAAGATGCTTTGAGACACGAGTGTGATCATAGAATGAATGAAGCCTGTATCTCAAGGTATCATGAGGACATTTACCTGTAATGTGCCAGTGCAGCATTAGGTCCACTTGCTGATATAGTCTCAAAACTCGGGCCCTTGTTGTCCTTCTGTTTGCTGAAAATGTTTTTTTTTCCTTCTTAATATATTCAGGCTTTCAGATTCTATTGTGATCTGTACCGAGAGTATGGCGACTGACCTTCGACAGTCATTGACATACACAGAGGCACTCAGCTCCGTCTGTTTTCCCGCTGGCACCACCTTCTCCAACCACATGAGAAGCTGCATGACAGCCACGGCATCCCTCACCTGGAAAGAAGCCACAATGAGCTATTGAGCAATAATAATATGATGATAATCAAAAAATAAAATTTAGAACAATGGGTGGAAAACGATGAACGACATTAAAAACACATTGTTTTATTTCAATTAATATAAAAACATTTATGACTGAAAAATATGAATTAAATGCTAAATAACATATGACAGAATCTCCAAATCCCCCAAATCGTTACTTTTTAGGGAAAAAAATGCTCAATCTTGTTGAGCCATTTTCAGTGCATCATCACAGAAATCGAGCCAACTAGCCAACTGATCAATGGTATCCATTTGTGAAAAAATAGGAAATTGACTCCATTAGACATCGGAGATTTCAGACAACACCACTGATATGTAGTCATATTACAACTCATTCCTGTGACTACAACAACAAATCATATTAGCAATAATAGTTTCGTTTTTTAAATTAAAATAGCATTTAAAAAATTGTGAAATCACATAACACCATCATCACCACCACCAAGCAGTGACGATTAATTATCATGCAGATGATGATGATGATTATGAATAATAATAATTATTATGAATATATTCGATTTATTTAATGTAAAAAAATGAAATTAAAAGCAAAATAGCATAATTGTATACTATGACTACTATTGCTACTACTAGTTCGACGAGTAATACTAATACTCTAATGATTACGGGAATTCGTTGTTCATTTTAATTAATATAACATATGAGTGCAACAATAAATTATTTGCAATAAATGCCAAAATAGCATAATAATAATAATCATAATAATAATAATCATAATAATAATAATAAAAACAAGTAAATCAGTCATGTGTTTGTGTGTGTGGGTGACATACGTGAGCATCCCTCAAGATGCGCTGCTCAGTGTCATCTTTCACAGCCTTGGTGGTCAGCACAGGAGAATAGGAGCTGCTCATTAGTTTGTCCTGTGGGACGCAAGTGGGTCCAAATGCATTTAGACAATTGAAATCAGACAAGGATGTCAAGAAAATGGGTGACAAATGGCTCATCTCATGTCATACCTCGGCAACATCTACATGAAATATCAGTCAAAGTCAGTAGGGAAAGTGGCAAGCACCCCTAAAATGAAGAATGAATTTGGATTTGGCTGAAAACCAAGAGCATTCATCAGTCTTGATAGAATAAATCACCGTTTGACAATGGTTGAGCAGTGGCACAAATCCAAACTACTAAAAAATGAGTCTTAATTTTTCATCTGAGTAAGACATTTTGGACAACTGTTTGTTTCCAGCCAGTAGCAGACTCTAGTATATGCGATGTGTGTGACCACACAGCGCAGCATTTCTGGGGGAGCAGCAACGTGCCCCGAAGGAGAGGTCCGCGCCGGATGCCATTCAAGCTCGGACTGCCACTGCTTCCAACATTTCAATGTATTTTATCGTATGAAGTGTGAGAGCATTTCAGTAGTGAATGTGAGAGATGTTCACTATATTGCATGAGAGCATTTCAGGCAAGTGTGAAAGCATGCTAATTTTGCAGAGAAACACTCTTCACATTTTTTTTTCCCGGGTGTCCAAATAGTTTTGTCCATTTTGTATATGATGTACATTGGTCACGACAAATACAGTTATATCAGTGGCATACCTCCGGTTTTATGACCTCAAAGAGCGCATAGTTGGTGTACTCGGTGCCGATCCACACTTTGACCCCAGACCCGCTGCTCACGTACTCCTTGAGGTGATCCAAGACGGCGTCGTAGTTTTTCAGCCGGACGCAGAGTGGCCCACCACATGAAGTGTTCAGGTACACTCTCATCTCTTCCGTCACCCTTTCTGTGTGCAAAAAGAGCCTGACAGATGTGGTGAGTAAAAACGCTGATCAAAGCAATCACAAACTTCCACGCATAGTAAACCATGAGAGGCCAGCAGAGACATTATTCAGGGTTACCTCTCACACACACTAGGGAAACACTCACTCACACACACACACCTGAAATGCTCTTGCATATATAACTGGAATGTTGTCGCACAGACAACTAAAACTCTCTCACGTACACAACTGAAATTTTGGCACTCACACGACTGAAACGCTATCACACACACAAATTTCTGTCACAAACAACTGAAAAATTACTGACTCATGTAAAACCCCTCACACGTACGCTAATACACTCTCTCACACATGCGTCTGACAATGCTTTGACACACTACAAAATCACTCATGCTTACTAAAACTCTCTCACTCACGAAACTAGAATGCTGTCTCACACTATACTGGAAAATTTCTCACGCACGCAACTGAAAACGCTATCACGCCCCCTACTGAAATGCTCTTACACAAAACTTAGCCCCTGCCACACACACTACTGAAACACTCTCACATCCAACCGAAATGTTGCACAGTCACTACTGAGACCTCACGCAGACTACTTCAATGCGTATTTCAGCAGTGGCGTACACAGCGTCACAATGATATGCGTGATGGAGCATTTCAGCAGTGTGTGAGAGCATTTTGGAAGTGTGTGTGTGAGAGTGTTTCGGTTTATTACATCAAAGAATTCCCGTAGAATGTATATACGTCTTAGAGCTTTTCGGTGTACTATACGAGACCGTTTTAGTGTGCTGCATGAGAGCATTTCCTTTGTGTAATGGGAGGTAATCCTAAATTAGGTCCTTGAAGACGTCTCATAAGGATCAACAGAAAACGTACCAGATCTCGTCCATGGTCAGCAGCGTGTACGAGTAGAAAAAAGGGTTGTATGGGATGTCATTCCCGCGCATATTAAATAGCCCTTGAAAATGAGAAATACATGTTACGTACATAAAGGTTTGTCGGGAGTACGTAATGCGATGAAGATGCGATACATTTAAAAGGGACTTACAGGCTGTCTCATCGAGTGCGGAAAGCAGGAGAGCGGTGGGCTTATAAGGATTCTCCTTCATCTGATTCCGGATTTGCTCCACTTTCATCTGCCAGGACCTTTCTATGAACGACGTGATCTTACAGTCAGTTATTAAAATGTGTATGTATATAACATCTTCATCTCGAAAAGCGGAGCTTATGCAACAACGCAAGCCTGGATGCCACAAAGTACATATAACAAACACAAGCATTCATATTTGTTGACAATGTAATCTTCAATGAACAAAATAGGCATGTATTTAGAATTTGGAAGGAAGTACCCAAAGAAACCGCATGCTAACATTGTTCTAAAATTCACCTATTGTAATTCTTTTTTCTCCTGAACATATTTTCAGCATGCCACAAGGCAGCTGTCAATAAGACAGTCCAATTGTCTCTCACTGTATTGGTGTCCACTTTTGACGGCTTCATGACAATGCTTATTTTATTTTATTTTTTGGCGTAATTGTGATTTTGGAGTCATTATTTTTTTCACATGGAGCGCAGAACAAGACTGGGATGATTTCACACTTAATAATTAAAAAAAAAAAGATAAATGCTGAGTGCTTATTGCAACGTACAACTGTCTCAACTAAAGTAAACCTTGGATAGCTAATTGAATCTAGCCCACCACCGCTAAGCTGAATGAATTGCAATCCCTCCACCCATACAAGGATCGACGACACAGTTCACTTTCAATGGCCTTGTAGAACAATGGTACCAAAATAAACACATGCAGATATTCACAAAACGACCTGCCGCTTGGCACACATGACAACGAGTCACTCAACACAGAGTGGCCAACAGAACTGTCCCCTGCCCTTAATAAATTTAATTTGGATATACCTATACAAAGACATAATGACTAAGAATATAAAATGCAGCCAAGTTGGCCTAAACCACATTATGCTTCTTTGACATAATGTGTAAATTTACACAGGTAATAAATCCCAGCAAATGACGCACAATAGCTTTGATTGAGTGGCCTTATCCTGTTCAAATGCATAGAACCATTAGATTTACGATGCTCTCCATTTCTTCCATTTGCCCACTGCGTGACCCTAAAGGCTAATGATGCTCTAAGACCAGTGGATGCCACAATAACTTCCTTCCATGTCCTTTCCCACACAGTTAGCATTAAATCTGTCAACCATAAAAACATCACCAGGCTGTTAATGGCTACACCGCATCATTGCAGGTATTTATCAGCACCCAGGTACAGGAAGCGAAACGCACGTATGATTCTGTCCGGCAGGCGGATGAGGCTATCAGGCGGGATGGGAGGTCGCTCCTTCCACACTTGGTCCACCAGGTTGCTAGGCATCGACTTGAGGCTCCGATTGCTCGACTCCAGACTCATTCTGTAGTCTTCCTGCGTTTCTAATGGATGGAATGGCAAACGATTAAGAACCCTGAGGCCAATCAATCATGAGGGAGCTGTCAGTCTGTCAATGTAGCATCTGTGGCCTCCGGTGATGTTAATGAGGACTGACGGGGGCGGTGATAAAGACTCACTGAGCGAGAAGAGGAACGGATCAAAGCCAATCTTGCCACCATAAGGTACCTCTGAGATGAGCCAAACCGCTATGCTGTTTATGGACACTGTGAAATGACAAAGATGAGTTAGAACGATTATTACTGATCCACAACACTCACAGTAGACTTTAAAGTAATTGACTGCATACCATACTTGTCGGTTGTACTAGATATGACTGTAACACATCTAGTTTTGCACTCTAATTTGGTGTGTTACTTTAACATCCATGCACAAAGTTATCCCATCCATCTGATCTACCAAATGTACCATGATATTATAAGTGACCTGCACAAGGTTATTTGGTATTAAATGGGGATTAGGGCTGCCAGAAAAGATCAAGTTCGGGTTCAGGACCACTGACAGTAAAATACAAACACAACAAATACAAGCATTATTCATTTGGAGGACCCATGATCTATGTCTGAGACAAACACAGAGCAGCACATTTTGTTCCCAAATGCCTTCGACATCATGAGATACTATGCCGGATGTTGCAAAGCAATCTCAAGCCATAACTCAGATCTAGCTGCCTGACGTTGCAGCAATTCTGCTTCAGGACATCTCAAGAATCTCAAGATTTCACTACAGGGATAAGATACCCTTGTGCTGGATGAAGCGAAGCAGCACTAGAAGATAACTACATGGTACCACATTCTTTGCATTGTGCTCCAGTAATTGTTGCTACTCTTAAATTAAAGAAAGAAAACACCATTGAAATGAGTTGAAACTGATGAGTCTGCAATTTGCTAAAATGCAAGATGACAAACATGGTCGTCATGTTGGGAGAATCGCCTTTATAACAAATAAGAGAAAACCAAAGCTTTTTTGGAAATCATCATCATCATTAGAAACAAAGTGGAACAAGGAAAAAAAAAATAAAAATAAATTTTGGGGCTTGCTTTGCTACACCAGGTTCAGGGTAGCTTCTATGTGTGCAGGGTATTATAAACTCTTCAGACTGAATTGACATTCCAGAGCCAAATGTGCTGCTCGACATAAAAAAGTTTGGTTTGGGTTACGTATGTTCTGGGGCTGCTACATCTGGCTATGGTTATCGTCATCATGTGCAGAGAAAAACGAAATCTGAGGCCTCTCAAAGCATTCTGGAGCAAAATGTACTGCTTGATGTCAGAAATTGTTGTCTCTGTAACGTCCTGGGGCTCTGGCTGTTTTACTACATCCAGAATTAAGTATTTAAAAAGTGCAAGGTAAAATAAAATATCAAGCCTACGAAGGTATTTTGAACGGTGCCAGTAAGCTTGGTTTTTGTTATGTTCCGGGGCTGTTTTGATAAATCTGGCAGAGGATATCTCTAACGCTGAGGTGTCATCAATTGCCGCCTGCGTCTAAAGAACATCTCGGTCTCAGTTACAGATCAGAGGTACTCCAGTGACATTGTGTTCAAGCCCACCATCTTTTTGCAGCTCCCAGTTGCAATCCATCTGTCTCTCCGCTTGGACCCAGTAGCGGCTGTCCGTCCACAGCGCCGCTTTGCCTAGCGTGACCACGGCTGTGCCTGCACACAGGCGGGAGCATTAAATTACAGATGCCAACGATTGCTCGGCAGTCCAGCTCATCTTGCTAATGTATGCAAATGGGGACATGGGAAGGTTGAAGGAATCTAATATTGTGAGGCTTCACTGTTGCCATCTTTTATCTCACCATTTCATATGGAAGGGTGAAGTGAGTTTCCCGAAGCTGCAGGATAATTAATCCTGAGTAAATCATCATTTTTGATTTAATGAGGGGGAGTTTATCAAAAGGAGGATAAAAGCAGCTCAGATGTGGGACGTTGAGTCAAAGGAAAGAGGAAGAAAACGAGCAGGAGGAGGAAGACGTTACCTGCAGAGCCTGTAAAGCCCGTCATGAAGGCCATCCTTGCATCACGTGGTGCGATATATTCACTCTGGCACAGAGCGATACCGTTAATCATCACTCAAACACAAACATGAAATGCATTTTATGATGATTGACAGCTGTAGTACCAGGTGGGCGTCAGTGCCTGGGATAATGTAGGCGGAGATGTTAGAGAAGTGCATTCGTTCTCGCAACTCCTGCAACCGGAGACTGCTGTTCACAGCTGTGTTGGGGAGGTACTGGCGTGCGCGCGCACACACACACATGCACACACACACACACACACACACACACACACACACACACACACACACACACACACACACACGCACACACACACACACCACACACACACACACACACACACACACACACACACACACACGTTAAAAGTGAAAGACAGATTTAATCACATGAAAAATTGCTGATTCATCCTTTCCTGTATCTCTGAGTGTAATCATTAACTGTGTGTAGTCACCAAAGCTATTGTGCCATGTGTCACAAAAAAAAAAGTACAAATATTTCAGACCTGACTTAGGTTGCATTTATAGACATAGGTTTTTAATTTAAAATATGTATATACATTTCAAATGCAAGTATGTAATTTGAGATCTTACAATATTTTTATAAAACTCTACATTGGAAGACTGGAACCCCACATTTGAACGCACAACTTCTAAATTGTGAGACAGATGTGCTAACAACTCGTGCATCGTGCATTTTATTTTTTAACATCAAGCATGTGTGCGCAACGACCAAAGCTCTTGCAACATACTACACTATATATATATATATACACTATAAAGATTTTAAATTGCATTTTATTCATCTATTAAACACGATGAAAGGCATTGGCAAATTATGAATGATCTTTTGTAATATGAAATGAACGGTCACTAGTTGTGTCTCGCAGAGCTCACCGGCGGAGACAGGGAACAGTTTCTCTCAGTGGCCTCAAACAAAGCGATACCGCTGACGTTTCCTGAAATGAGAAGAGTCCTTGAACAGTGACCCAGCAGTTTTTGTTTAGTACCAGGTTGGTTTCTCCTTGGAAACAAACACTGGCAGGATAATCTAAGCCAATAAATCACAATGCGACATCTAATTCAATAATGCACCGCTGTTGACACATTTTATGCAGTGAAATGCAGTCGAAGAGCAGACGATGAATGCTACTTTGCAGGGTGAGCTTTCTTGACCGAAAACCAACCACAATATTATAAAAGAAGTTTTAAACACATGTAATAAAACAGGCGCATTCAACTTTCAGGCTTGAGCAACACTTGCGATTGTGTCTTAAATGTGAGCCAACACAAGCAGAAGAACTTTTTTTTTTCTTCAAATTTACCTGCCAGGATCAACAGAACCAGAGCCACGGTGGAGAACATCTTGCCCCAGAAGCACATCTACACACCAAGCGGACCGAGGTGGGTCTTGCCTAACTGGAGCAGGTGCACCGTTGAGCGTTCAGTCAATGTGGGTTTGTGGTGAGAGGTATACCCTGCCAACTGTGTGCGGCTTCCCCCCTCTCTCCCTCTCCCTCTCTCTCTCCTTATCTCACCCACTTCCCTTCCTACTCCTCTTCGTCCTCCTGTCTCGACTCACTTGTCCTCTGACAGCAATCATGTGACCTTGGTACATTTTTTTTCCTTTTATTGTTGCTTTCTTTACATACCGGTATTATAATAGAATGTGCGACACCGCCTTCATGTCTTCTTAAATTTATTAAGTTGCTTGACCTTAACCCAAGTGGTGTTTTTAAAAATGTCACATATGATCATGTAGATACATTCATATACTTGCTGTGAACATTCAGTAAATTATTGTTGAATTATTCTTTTCTTAAATTATTTAAAAGCCAGGTTTAAAAGAAAAACAGTCTATCTTGCTTTGACATTCATAATGTGCAGTACTATATTAGCCTCTTTTGTACATGACTGAGCCACTGATTTGTCTTCCATCCATCCATTCCCCGAGTCGATTATCCTCACGAGAGTCGCGGGCATGCTGGAGCCTCTCTCAGCTGCCTTCGGGCAGTAGGCGGGGTACACTCTGAACTGGTTGCCAGCCAATCGCAGGACACAAATAGACAAACAACATTTTGGGCTCACAATCACACATAGGGACAATTTAAAATGTTCCATTAATCTACCATGCGAGTTTTTGGAATCCGGGAGGAAACCAGAGTACCCAGAGAAAATCCATATAGGCACGGGGAAAGAGTTCAAAGTATGGATGTGTGCGTGTTTAGGTCACTTCGTTGATGAGTAGCCATGATACTTTGAAGAGAGATGTCAGATTATAACTTTTACCATCAAATTCATCATGTTTTGTAAAAGCTCTTCATATACAGTATGAACAAGTGTTCATGTCACATCGTTGAAAAAAAATGATGCATCAAGACAGATGTCACATTCTGAATTGAATAAGAACACATGTTCTATTATGCATACTCCAGACAACTCATTCTGTTGTCAGTAGGAAGGGAGGGTGTGATACACTTGTTGCAGCTTGTGGAGGGGGTTGAAGTTGGCAAGGCAGGGTTCATACTGTAAATCATCACACGAAATGAACGCAGCTGTGTCCGGCAAGAAGCTAGAATGCACATTTGTTGGAAGAAATCCTCCCACATTTTAGAAGCAAGAAGGAACACTGGCAGTGCCTGAGACCCTTTTTTTCTGATTGGTGCATAAAAAGTGGAGAAATGTCAGTGGTCTGACTCTGCAAAGCTACCATCAATAATTCATGTTGCATTTATTTGTACGAGTGTAATCTCTTCAGGAGACGCTCACTAGCTTTTGCCGGTCATTAACAAAGACAGTCAATAACAAAGACAGTCAATAACAAAAACAGTAGAAGCACAAAAACAATAACACGAAAAATCAAGTCTCATGCTCAGTCAAAAGCCAAAGAATAAAAATTAAGACAAGTTTTAAAGTTGGGCAGCGATGTGCGTAGGGGCCGAGGAGCCCATCGAGGTAAGGTGGGGCGGGGCCATTTAATGATTTGAAAACAAATAATATAATGTTAAAAATAAATCCCAAATGTATTGTGAGCCAGTGAATCGATGCTAGAGTAGGAGTTATGTGCTCCCTTTTGCAAGTAACAGTCAAGAGGCGAGCACCCGCAGTTTGGACCAACTGGAAATGCCCAATGGAGGATTGGCTGACTCCAAAGGAAAGTGCATTAGAGTAATTGAGCCGAGATGTGACAAATGAATTAATGTTTGAAAGTGCTTTTGAGAAAGAAGAGGCTTTACTTTAGCCAGCTGCCTAAAATGAAAGCAGGATAGGATGTAGAAGGGCACTGGGACCAAACACCATCACATCTGTCTTCTTTTCAATGAAATTCAAGAAATTCAGGTCTTGACTCAGAACAACCAAGGCCAACACAAAATGCTGTGTCAGTCAAATGGGATCTAAACCACTTAAGGACGCAACCACTAATGCCCACCAGGTGCTGCAAATGAGCTAACAGAATACTGTGACATATTGAAATTGCCTAATATATGTATAAATAATTTACTCTTAAGATTTACATGTAAGTAATTTTCTATATTTTAAAGTTATGTTCTTATTCAGCACCAACATGTTAAATATGTCATCTGTATTATAAATAAAACATTTTAGATTGCATGTATGTATCCCATGTAGAACTTGTAATATTCACATAATAGTTTGGAAATCCCCTACGTGATTAATGCGTTCTTTTTGGTGTGAAAGGTGCCATCACAGGTCTAATATTTTACATGACATATACTGTCCTTACAAGGATAATCCTACTCAATTTATGTAAGGAAGGTATGATGCTTGCAATACCATACATTTTTTTCATATGGGCTAATTAGTGTACTTGTTATCCAATTTGCAGATGCGCTTGGGGGCGGGGCGAGGCAGAAACACTCAGTGAGGGTAGAGTGTCAACCAAATTAATAAACATGTACTGTACACTGAACTAGCCCATTGTCCCGGTGCTTTCCCTGATGACTTTCTTTTACCAACATGGCGAATGAGTCAGGGGCAAGGCAACTATTTGCGCCAGAATGTGGCCCCAAACACGCATGACTAGAGTTACACTGGCATGAAAATGAGTTGCACCCGTTTTTATACCAAGTGCACGGGCACCAGTGTACCACAATAAGTCCCAAAATCTAAAATCTCAGCAAAATCCTCGGAGCAGCCATGCAGGAATATGCCGATTTTATGACTGAGCAATATGAATTATGTCTATCAGCAACTTGGCAAATATGTAACATAACCAGGATGATTATTTGCACCACTAATGACGACAGTGCAATCAAATGAGCAGATAAAGGTCTGTGATCATCAGTTGACCAATGAACTCACATTACTGAGTCGGATTCTTGCTTCAAGCTGCTGTCAAGCCATTGCTTTTATTTGGGCTTGCATCTCCGAAGAGATAATGTTTTTATGCCATCCAGTGAGCATAATCAACTGATAACACAATGAAAGAGGATGGATGTTTAACTGATTTTCATTGGTCCTGTGACAGAGACTATACATCTATTTATTCATAAAGTGATTATGCAACTCCTGTGTTATGGTTGTGCGTTGCCATTAAACTTATTTGAGTGGTTTTATTTCATTAAGTGGAGTGGATTCAGATTTCATAATGGATTGCCATATTACAAAGTATTATTATTATCTTACATTTGTGGTCTCCCCACATTCACATTACTGTACAATGCATGATTCCTATTATTATTATTGAGTGCATGCATTTACACACTACATCGGGTTGCGTAAAAATACTACTCTTAAGTGCTTAACAACAAATCTACTATTAATATAATAATTATAATAACAATAATAATAATAACACCTATAATAATAATAATAATAATAATAATTATTATTATTATTATTATTATTATACAGAGTAATAAAACTTATTTATTGTCATCAATTCTTACATATGGTACATTGAAAATATTCTCATAATTATTTTATTACAGTGATATATGCACAAAAATTATAATCGAACAACGTCATTTGGCGCTGAAACTGTCTAAATTGTGTGTAGGACACAATGTCACCACAAGGATTCACTGTTGCCAAAATAATTCCGCCTCTTAGAGCCACTAAAACACGTGCTTCAACACTAAACCTCACAATCAACTGAACTCTGAGCCTGTGTGTGTGTGTGTGTGTGTGTGTGTGTGTGTGTGTGTGTGTGTGTGTGCGCGCGCGCGCGCGCGCAAGTGTTTTATGTGCGGGGCAGTGTCACGCACACACTGCAACTGGGTGATGAGGCACAAAGTTAAAGATCAATATTAATAAACGGTAGCCGTGGCAACGTGGTACAAGAGTGCATGAGTCAGAACTCAGCCAGAGGGGAAGAAAAGCCACTTAGGAACCAACATGGACACTCTCTGACAAAGAAAAAGGCAGATAAGACAATTAGATTTTTTTTTTTTTAAAATGGGAGTGCTCAAGTTAAGAGCAAAGCTGAACCCCACCCCGCCAAAAAAGGCAAAAGTTCATAAATGTGCATGAAGAGTTAATTTAGAGCAGATGGACACTGGTATCAAAGTTTTGGTGACCTTCCTAGATAGTACACGGCTGAGTAAACAGTAAGGGGTTGCTCACTCGCAAACATCAGCTTGCGAAAAGTTCATACACACCGTTAAAGTTGAGTAGTTACGAGTGTTAACTCCCCCTTCCTTCAATGTGTTATTTGAGTCATAACACATGACAAGTCACTGTGACATCTGATTGTTCTCGTGGAATTGTGGAGAACTCATTTGAGTAAGACGTTTTAGACTTAAAGGACAATTTTAGGTCCTGGGGCTTGCTTGGCTAAAACTCATGAGTGATGGCCTGATCCAGGGGTGACCCTCGGTTCAGAGGTCGAAGGGTGATGAGCTCTCAGCCAGTTAAGATAATTTTCACTCTTTTCTACATTTTCATGCAATTTAATTGCAACATTTATGATACAGATGCAACACACCTTTTTGGGAAAGTCTGTGATTAAACACTCATATCTGATAAAGGTGACGGAAATGTTGAGCCACAGAAAAAGGGGAATGGATCGGATTTATAAAACGAACGTATTGGAACCGTACTGCCTTTGTGAAAACAACTTCCATTGATACGGCAACAAGTCAACATATACATTGATAGTATCCAACTTTTCTGCACTGCAAATCGACCAGGGTTAAGAACATACAGTAAAAATAATTAAATAATCTCTCACATTTGGGATTCAATTGAGGGGTGCTTGATTAAAAAAAAAAAAAAAAAAAGAGAGAGATAAGGTCTTGGCATTTCTTTTCTCATTGTATTAGAGCAGCACAAATGAAGTCCAGCATAACATTAGGCCGCGGGAGAGTCCGTGTACATATCGGTAATCGACTTGAAAGTGGGAATGCGGCCGGCATTGATTGTGACCCGTACAGCTGATGATGGAGTCTTGAGTGACTGCTGAGGACGAATGAGTAATGGAGGGCGGTAGCTTTGATGTAGGCGGCAGGTCACGCATGTGTGGGATGATGGTGGCGCAGATAG